ATAGAATATAATTTTTTTAAATGGTATTTATTTAAAATAAATAAGGTGTTAACCTTTGCTACACAGGAGGTAAAAATTCCTACAAGAATCAACCAATGAGTTCAACCATTTCACTCAATCGTATTGATGATTCTTTGGAATTAATTATGTACTTCCTCTAGGATTAGCATATTTTAAACATGACATATTTTCCGTAGAAAACTCAGAAACTAATTAGGAAGCGTCACGAATGTAGACCAAAATTTAAAGCATGCTTTCAAACTAACTGACTTGTTGCCGATGAGTTTTGTGAAGTAAAGCGCATGTTGGCTATCTTGAACCGTATCATCCTCTCCTACTTAAAAATAATTCTTCCTCGAATTTGAACCTTGCAATACATGAAAAGGAATGAGTACAAGCATAAACTCAAACTCTGAACTACCGAAGAATGCAAGGATCTCTCATTTTCGATTCTCGCTAAAACTTGTTTGGTCCGTTAAGCCCACGTAGGATTGGATCAAATCTTTTATCCCAACATAAACTAAATGAGACTCTTAAGTATGTTGTTTAAAATATATCCACAATTTACAATATATTTAAAGATTAGTCAATTTCGTTCAAACATAAGAACACGACGTCCTAGAGTTTAAATCTCAAAGTTCAAACTTCAGGACATTTTGTGTTAGTATTTGTCCTGAATTTCTAATCTATTAGGACTCTCTTTCTTAAAGGAATGAAAAAGACTCCTAAAAGGATTAAATTTTCTTAATATGTCTTATCCTTTTCTTGGAAGACAAGTTTTGTATATCTATAAATTAAGGATCTCTACTTCTCACAAGAGTACAACAAAAAATATCTACAATGTAGTCATTAAAGAGTTTTGTTTAGGGGGAGATTTTTCTCTTGATAGTTTTCTTCTTTGATATTAGTTTTATCATATGTAGATCAATTGACCAAACCATTATAAACTATTATGCTTAGTTTAGTATATTTTTCTTTTGTCGTCTGATTTATCGTCCACCAAGCTTTGTATTGTTAGTTTCCGCATGCACCATGTTATTTCGATCCCAACATTTTGTCCTAAATATCGAAAATTGTGTTCAGAAGTTCGAATCTTATATCCTGAATTTTAAATTAGTAATTTAGAAATTCAGAAAACTTAGTCCTGAATTTCAAATTATCAGCTCAAAAATTCAGGACACCAAGTCCTAAATTCAGGATACTTAATCCTGAAGCTCGGGTAAATTAGCTAATTTTTCAATAAATTGTAAATTATTGATATATTTTAAATAGTGTGCTTAAAAGTAAATATTACCGCACCTCGCTCACGAATCCTCTTTAGGCTGGATTGGGCTAGCATTTTAACGGCCATGTTATTTGGGATTGTTGCATAAATAGCCAGCCATATTATTAGGGAATAGTCAGCCAGATTCGATGTATTCTTACCATAATTATGGTAGTTTTAACATTCAACCTTTGCTTTTTCTTATGTCACGTCAAGCACACGTTTACTGTGTTCAGTGACACAAAAAAAAAATTAATTATTACGTTGTTCACTGATTTCCCATAGTTCAGTAACCCTTCAAAGCAATAATCCAATAACCTTAATTTTGATTTTCTATTGTTTATGTCACTAAAGTCCAAACGAATTCCTTCAGACTTCCTTGAACATAGGTCAAAGTTGTTTTGAACCAAGGTAATGCAAATTATTATATCACCATGAGTATGCTACCACTGTACTTGCAACAGTTCGAGGCACATGTACAAAGGAAAGATCTAGGAAACCAAAAGTAGGCATTAAACATTCTAATATTATCTTACAAACATAGTTTTTACAGATGTGTAGCTAAGCAATTCTTGTTCAGTATTTATGCTAAAACAAGATGACCGAGTGATCAAGCGCTGAAGCCCCGGTTGGCAGCGATATACTCCTCTATCTTATGCTCATTGCAAGCAGCCATAAAAGCTTCCTCCATAGCATCTCTAGACACTCCATTGTTGCAAATGTTTGCAAATGCTCTCATGTGCTTCATCCCGTATTGTGTTAGCGAGCCACAATGTAGCTCGAAAAGGCGAACCTGGTAAAGAAAACAAAAATCAAGTTATATCATGGGGGAATTCAAGTCAAATTTGATCAACAGTTATCAAATAATTGCATAGATTTCCAGATTACCGTCGATTTTAGGCAATCCCAATCATCAACGAGAGGTAAACCAGGTTTTCTAACAGAGTTGAGAACAGAAGAACCCTTTGTTGGGCCGAAAAGAAAGACTCCAATTGCATCTACGCTCCCGTCTAGATGTTGTCTATGCAGCATTGTGTCCGTTATCTCTTTCCGAAGCTTGGCCTTCTCCAATGAATTGTCTGCTAGCTTCTTGTACTGTAGAGATCAAGAAAACTTGGTATCAAAACCGAGCCAAAGCAAGTGACATTGATTTTTACCACAAAGCATCACACTACAAAAGGATGCTTGTAGTGTTTCCATTTTGGGTGGTGGTCCCTTCTAAATTTGAACTATCTTTGACAGGTGGATTCCTAGCATTCATAATTCCAATTCAATCTCTAGTTCAATGAAAAGTATCAGTTACATATTGTAATCTGCGATACATTCCGCTTTGAGAACGATCACCAGATAGAACACAAAACAAATGCACAAAAAACAAATGAAACTGCAGTCACTAGACAAACTTGTACCAGTCCATCCTACTCTATATGTTGGGTGTACGAACTAAGTCACACATTGGTAGCTGAAAAAATAGGAATCTCTGAATGGTGTGAGGCGTTTTGGGGAAAGTCGTGTGGGTTTGACCCAAAACGGACAGTATCACACCATGTGACGAGTATCTCTGGGCTGATTTAGCCCAATACTATGACCACAATATATTTCTGCTTATCGAATTTCTATCCTTCTCCCACTCATATGCATAAAGAATTAATCAAATATCATGTAAAGATGCACAAATAGAACTATGCTATGGAAATCTCAATTCAAACTTACTCTCTCCCATAAGAAGAGAAGATCAGCATCCCTCTGGTTGACAACCTCCAAGTGCGCAAAATCAATCTTGTTTGCAGGAAGATTCGCAGTGGCAGGATCAAATCCTTGGTACAGATATACTTTCTCTGGCTTAATTTCTTTGCTTCCATATTCCATAACATGAGATCCAGCATTATAGTTGTTGAAGTTGGAAGTTCTTTCCTTCACCTACAGCGACGATATAGCATTCAATGATGATGATGGCACACAAGAATATATTTGAGGCTCCAAATAAAAGCATTTGTGTTTGTTACCTTCTCGTACTGTTGTTTTATTGTTTCCTTCTTCAGGTTGTGAGACTCACTGAAAACAAGTTAAACATTGAGTAATCATCAGCAATTCGGTAGCTCACTTAGTCTTTAATATCGCGTGGACAGATTCGTTTTACAACAATTATTTTCCAAATCTTACAACCAATCAGTCAAGCAATCGTTTACTTTGCATTACCTATCCTCCATCCATGCAACACTATACAAGTCTCCCAAACATGTGATATATTCTGGTGGAGGTGGAGGATCCATTCCTGGGCAATACGTCCCCCAGCTGCTCTCGTCGGCATTTGATGCTGTTGTCACATAAATGTTCAAGTCTTCAGGCATCATACCCTCAAAAACACTCCCGCTCTCACAAGCTTCAATGTAGAGGACCTGCATGAAGCAGAACAAATAGAAAACTAAGTATGTTTGGGTCACCAAATGGACCTATCTCAAATGGTTCTACAAAAGTACAAAAATTAAAAAGGGTTTTTCTGTACCATTTCTTTGTAGGTCCCTGCTGCATGCTTCTTTTTCAAGGCCTCAATAAAATCTTTGGCATAAAGAAAAGGCATGTTTGGCATCCCTGAGACAGAGGAAGTGAAAATCAAATTAACTTAACAGAATTGTCTTTCAATCGACTGCTAATAAGCTGCATATATTATTCAAAGATTTATTGACAATTCATGTAAACAAGATACAAGCTGGATTATAGACTCACCGAGGACCCCTGGACCACCATGATCAGAGTAATAGAGAAATATTCTGTCATTCGGTTTACTATCGATGACCTTCCCACTTCCACCTTTCACAGCACTCTTATCACCAAGAAGCACAGCATACAGATTCGCAGCAGTGACATGCTCACCAGTGTAGTCCTATCATAATCATTTTATCATTGTAAAATTACTGCTTGCTAAAGGAAGGGAGAAGTATACCCTCTTAAGACCAGTCAATTCCAAAAAATGAATATTAATAAGGTACAAGAACCAAGCCTTCACATTTTTCTCAAAAAGTTCTTCAGCTACTTTGGATTTCCACATTTCAATCCACTCCTACAACCAAAGTTATTTCTTGTAGCCAAACCAGCCTTTGATCAAGAAACTACAATAAAGTATCTCGAAGGAGATGCATGCAGCACATCCAGCCAATTGGATTTGGTAAGAGTCACTAATATTTTTCACTCTGCCTATTGGAATGGTATTGATTATAGAATCTTTTTATGATGAAAGATTGGGCGTTCATCGAAAAGAGGCTTTAGCTTTTCAATGGTTCACACAGCCATTCTCCCAAATAAAGATTCCATGCCATTTTTAAGTCTAGGGAGTGTAGTTGCCTCATCATCAGTTGGTACTTGGTAGCACTTTGCTTATCCTAATAGAGTTAGGGGTGGAGCCACAGTGCCGGCTACGGGTTCGGTCGAACCCGGGTAGCTTTGGCTCAAATCTTGTATTAATCTTTTAAAAATTTATAAATTATTGATAAATATTAAGAACCCAGTAACTTAAAAGGATTAGAATCCCAAACTCATAAGCTTGAAATCCTAGCTACGCCTCTGAATAGAGTTATGCTTATTTAAAGTTCAATGTTTCGCCTAAGAATTGAACCTCAAAGGAACTTGGGGCACCATATTTAATATAAGTAAGATAAAACATTCTAATATAAGTAAGATTGAGGCACCATAATTACTGTCGAAATGACGATACTGTTGAATTTGGCAAATCTTTTGTCCCACATCGGTGGGAAAAGAAGGGTTGGGGGGATTTTCCCCCTATAAAAGAAGGCTTAATGTTTAGGATTTAAACACACCTCTCATTTGCCTTCTCATCTGTTTAAGGCATTTGTATCTTCTCTCTTTAGTATTATTTCACTTGTATTTTTGGAGTGGAATAAAATATTGGTTGTGTCCGAGGAGTAGGCAAAATTAGCCGAACCTCGTAAATTCTGGTGTTCC